GTGACAATGCCGCCCTGCAAAACAATAACTGGAATAAAAATAAGCATTTTAAAAATAAATAAATTCCTTACTAACAGTCACCATTCAAAGACCACAAGCACTGCTCCCATGAAGCTGTTTACAGCAAATGGCTGAAGCTGGCTATTTAAGCACTAGAGGTACAAAAAGTCTAGAATCTCATTGGCTGACAAGTTGAACGATCGTTTGCTCGTTAAAAGATTATGCAAGCTGACTGGCTGGCAGACTGCAGTAATGAACCTATTAGCTTGCAGCACAAGCTGAAAGATCCGTCAGGATTGTTGACGCAAGTGACTGATATCTGCTGAGACTTTATACAGTAACTTATTTAGGAACAGATATATACTAACTCAAAAAATTTCAATGATTATTTAGTGCAAAAAAAAAAAATCTTAATGGTGCCATTGTAAGCTGAAGCACAACATTTTTAACCTTCAAATAGTCTTTATATCTACATAACATAATGAAAATTAGTAACATGTACTGTGATGTGATTTGACTGATTTGTTTTGCTTTTGTACAGTCAATAGATCTTGTAAAGCGGACTCCTGAAAACACCAGAATCATGAGGTACCACATAGTGTGCTGCCGGACCCTCCTTCCACAAGACCTCATGCAGCCTCGTAACCTGACCACACTTTCTGGGGACATCCTCTCCATCACATACTCTGAGGTACAGTGTGCCTGATGCATAAGCAAATAACACGACAGCAATTGAAACATATTAAGCACACGATTTGTTTCCAGGATACTATATACATCAATAACAAGGCCAAAGTGCTGTTCAGCGATATTGAAAGCAGCAACGGGACTCTGTTGGTTAGATTGCTGGTAATCATGACAGTTTCCATATTGTAAAATGACATTTCATTTTACTTCAGCACATCACCATATTTGACAGAGAAACATAGTTGGTTTGATGGTATTAAGACAACTTGATTTTGTCAGATGATACAGTTTTCTTTTATTCTGCCACTATTAATGCTAGGTGCATTACCATAACATTTTTGTCTTTATTGTTAACTCCATAACTCCTATCTTTTGTTTGAAAGAAGTCTCTTAAATTTCCCAGTACTGGGTTGCGGCAGGAAGGGCATCTTTGGGCATTTTTGTTTTGTTTTTTAAATGTTTTTATTATTATTATTTCATTATTTTTTATCTTATTTTATGTATACATTCGTGTGTAAGGGGTAAAATTGTTGGGGAAAGGATTGTTCTGAAAAAAAAATTAAATATTCTTAAATAAAAAGTAAAAAAAGAAAAAAGAAAAAGAAAATGCATTAAGTGTATTAACCAGCAACATCAGGAGTGAAGAAATAAAATCCCAAATAAAAATTCTTGTTGGGGCAGTTGAAGGGTTAACTTGTAAATTATTTTGCATTAAAAGCATTATTGAATGTTCACCATACATCTTATAAGGTTGCAGACATATTTTTGTAATAACCTATGCATAAAAAGAACCTCTATACAGCATTCTCTAATCTTTACACTTATTTTGAGTTTTTTTTTATTTATGCTTACTTTTAGGAACTTTTATTGTCATTTTCAAGAGTTTTCATTAACTGACCTGTTTAAAGCAAAAATTATATAAAAATATAATGTAAATAATGAAAAAACTAAAAGTGTTAAGGTTATTAAGGTTGTGGATTCTGTTCATCGTTTTTCAGAGTTGCAATTATTTGACACATGCTTAATTATCCAAAACACAATGCACCTACAATGTCTAATTATTTAGACTGCCCTGCTTAAAGCACTCATTAAGATAAAAAGAATGAATTATAATTTATTATAATTTATATATATATATATATATATATATATATATATATATATATTATTGTTGTTGTTGTTGTTGTTGTTATTATTATTATGATTGTTGTTATTGATTTTTATCATAATTTTTTTCATTTAGTTTTTTGATTGTGTACTTGTGTTGGTGTTTATTGTGTTAAGTGAATCATAAGTGTGTCGTTCTTGTCATATGTAAAGCACCACCATGTCAGAATGAATTGCCCCAAGGGGATTAATACACATTTAAACTAAAATTACTTTTTATACATATATACATTTTGCAGTAAAGGGTCATTTTATTTAAATTTTCAGAAGTATAGGTGTCAATATCTAAAAAGGTGCATTAAAGTTGATGTGATTTGTCTTTTGTTAAAGGAAGAAGACAAGCATCAAGTGATTTCCAGTGGAGTCTTTGAGCTCCTGCAGGACAGCTGAAATCACCTCTGAAACCAAGCAGTCGGTGCAGCTCTCTTTCTGAACACAAGAGGAAAATGTGATAAAGGATTTAAGGAAACAAATAAAAATAAAGAAGTGTTAAGGTTGTGGATTATTTCCATCTGCTTTAGTTTTTTTTTGTGTTGTAATTATTTGACACATGCATGCTTAATTATCCTGCACCTGGACATCATTTTCAGTCAGGTTGAATGATGAAAATCCACACCATCATGTTGGTCTTTGGGAAATGGTGAACTGATTGCAGTTAATACAGTACACTCAGAATTAAGAAACAAGTATAATAGATTTTGCACCTGAAATGTTGGAAGAAGGTAAACAGGTAAGAGTACTTGCTTTAAGAATTGTGTAAAGATTATATGACGATGTTTGACACATTTTATACCTAAAACTACATGATATATAAAGATGTGTACATCAGATATGTTTTCTATTATTGAATTTCGTCAATGCAAGATGAGTTGGATGATTTATCAAAAATGAATCCATGTTATTCTGGTCGAGATCTTGACAGAATCATATTTTAGTTGTAATTTCTCCTCTGGCTGAACATGAATATGTTGATACACTTATTGACCACAAGAGGGAGCTCATATTTCTTATCTGCCTAATACACATTATTTATTAACATGCCAATATTTACATTTCATCAAGTATAAAAATGTCAACATGAATGTCGTTTTGGAATATAGCCAATAATAGTTGAAATCTCTTGCGGTAGAAACTGCAGATTTTCAACCACTCCACTAGGCGGCAGAAGCAATGCTCAGCTCGACTCAACACGAATCAGGTGGGAAGACGTAGAACTTCAGATGACAGCAGCACGTTCGTCATGACAACGTGAGTAATGAAAACAAACAAACACCACGTTTTGCGTTTACAAACACGGGTTCAATGAAAATGTGTTGCACTGAATATAATATGAAATACTGAATGTTGTCTACCGAATAGAGCAGTTTACAAAGGTAATAAACGGTGGCTTGATTGTGTGGGCGTTTCCGCTGTTTACAACAGCAAATATTTTACCATGAGTTTCCAGAACATGTTAAATAAAGGCTGATTGAAATGCGGCATCGACCACAAGCCTAAATACTGGAATAGTAGCGAAAGAAATGTGATAGATTAGCTGAAACATTTATAAAAGTATAATTGAGTATTTACATTACAATGTATCTGCTTTTCTTAGGAACCGGAGGAACGTCTTTGTCCTAATATAAAGTATTGTAAATCAGCACAAACGTAAAGACTTTTTACACATATTTTACTGCACTTTTTGATTGAAATGAACACTTTGTCAGTCATCAAAATGTAGTTTCGATAATGAGTGTTTACACGCTGTCAAACAATGTGATTGACTGCAAATCTGACCAATGAGTGTAGAAATGATCGCGCTTCCCTTCCCGGATTGGTTATTTTTCGTGGCAACCGTGGGAGGAAAATTAAAAAAGGGGGCGTGTCTATGATTTTAGACATCAATTTTTTTTTAATCAAAAATCTAGAAGTATTTAATTAAACATTGACTTAAAAACAAATTTGAATATAAGAAACTGGTAAAATCCTGATCAAATTCCTAACCCACACTTGTTTTGATTACTAATCCTATATATATATATATATATATATATATATATATATATATATATATATATATATTTATATATATATATATACATATATATATATTATTTATGTGTGCTTCTTTGCTCTTTAATTTTTCAGTTAACCTAACAATTTTTGTGTGCTTTCTCTAGAGAATGAGGGATGTGTTTGGACCGTACAGTCAACAGAAGCAGAGCTCCGGGACGTTTGGACTACATTTACTGGCGTGATGGACGTCTGCTGCGGACAGGTAAGACCTCCCGCATGTTTTTGTGTTATGTGCTATCGGTTACCATCACTTCCTTTCTGGAGAGGTCACCTCTCTAGAAAGGAAGTGATGGTAACCGAAACGGGGAAAGAAGGGACGGGGGTCTGGATTTTTATAGAGCTAATTTTTTTTTTAGTAAAAAGCAGCATAACCCCTGCTGTACATGGCCCCGTAGGTCAGGGGAGGAACGTTTCATCCTCCCCCTTCATTCACACCGACACTCACACATATCGCAGTGATCTGGCTGGGATTGAACCAGCGACCTCTTAACCCTTGAGGCAATGCTCTACCGCTGAGCCACAGTCACATACCTAATGATGTGCTGGAACTTATATTTGCCCAATTCGCTTGTTGGTGGGCCAGAGAGCAAATGTGAGCAGAGCTGGGCTTTGAACCCTAGTCTTTCCAGCAGCCTTAACCATGAAGAACATGTGTTTAGCCAGTAGCACCACTATGGCACTCATGTGTGATTCAGGAGTTTATGGCACTTTGTTGCACATAATGACACCAAATTAATGTTTGCAATAGTGAGGATTGAACCCAGAGAGGTTTTTACTGAACCCATGATGCTATCCAGACCAGAACCTGTGTTTTACCACTCACACCACTGAGGTTTTCACACTGAAAGCTGCTTTCTGAGCTCATTTGTTTTATAATAAATGGCTACGGTGGAATAAAAGCAATGCTGGAATTTGAACTCAGGGATTCATGTTCACAGTTCAACACTTTTATCTGCTGAGCCACTGAATCTGTGCTGATTATAGACAATCACATAACCATGACAAACAAAGCCAGATACTGAGCAAAACGTGAATCACTTGATCATTTCTCGCACATTATCTAATGTATGTTCATATGTATGACAAGGCAGTTTTTTAATGTTTCTTTGTTTTTTTATTAATAGGAAAAGAACACAGAAGTGAAGACGGTGTGATCAAGACTGAACACAGGTCAGTTACAAGCTCTTATACAGTATATAGTGAGAGTGATTTTGAAAAACAGCTTCATTAGGCTTTATGATTATTTTCTTTGAACCAGTTCGATTGATTTGAAGCATTTACAGCGGTCAAATTCAATGAATCAATTCAATTGATTCAATTAAATTGATTCATTGATGTTTGGACTGTGTTCTTATTGGCAGTTACACCATTTCAACCTGTAGGTGTAGAGCAATTCAATTAATTTGAATAGTTCAAAGCAATTCATTTCTATTTAATGTATCATTTTAAAACCTTTATTTGAATACAACCACATGATATTGTCCTCTGCAAAGTTTCTATCAACACATTTCTGACAGAGACTCCTCCCCTGCTTATCGTCCAATCACTGTGTGCATAGTTAACAAGCATGCTGACATCATCCATAGCAATGGGCTGAACCCCGGCCTCAATCTTAGCTCAAGACTTCTCTCCAGTAAACCTTTGAATCTGCAGCTTTGTGAATAAGTTGTAAAAGAAAACTCTTAGCTTAAAACTTTTTCCGATGTTGAGGAGAAGATAAGTTTTGTGAATACGGACCCTGATTCACAACCTGTTTTCAGGAACCTGTGTGTATTTGATAAGAGAAACATGTAAAATGTGGAGCTCTGTTGGTCCCCAGGACTGGAGTCTAAAACAGACATCAGTGTAGATCCATTCCAACAGAAGTCATCTAATAAGAAAAAAAACAGGAGGTTATTTAACAAATATTGCATCCATTTGAGTTCATTCAGTGAATAACACAAACACATTTCTCCTCAGTCTAAGAGAAAACGTTTAAATCTATAAATTCTGAGATATTTTCTTATTAAGTTTAGGTTTAAAGCAACTCATTTTTGTCTTTCTAAATCTTGTCTACTTCTGAGGGGGGAAATCTGAATTTTGAAAACCATAATTCATAATTGCCATAAACAAAAGACTGAAAATATAGATGTTTACAGGTTTTAATTATTTTTGTTTTATATTTAGTAGAAGAAAATATACAATCCAAAATATCATTAGTTCTAACTAGTGTTTGATATTAATGCAGACACACTTACTGTCCAGCAGGCGGCGCTGAAACAGATCTGTTCTAATGCATTTTGTGTCTAAACCTAAAATCTGTGGCTACAATGCTCTTTATATCAGTAACATAGACATGACAACAAGAAATCATGGTTCAGCTGTAATCAATGATTATAAATATCATTGCTAATAACTAAACAAAACATACATCGACTTAAAATGTACACATCACCATAAAAGCCGTCTGAGTTTTGATTGTTTACACATTGAGTGCGTCTATTTGAGTTAAACACAGCTTTTCTGTTTTACCCCATCAAAGATTATTCAGCAAAACTGCTATAATACACTTAGATTTACACGTCTAGACCCGCCATAAATAACAGGATTGCTTTCAAATGCGTTTTATTCATTGATTTCTCAGCCCTCTTACCTGCGACTGAACACCACGAGCTCATGATCTGAACAACACTGATTCATGCCCACACGAGGGCGCTGACGACCACATCTTGACTTATTTGGCACTTGACATTGAGCTATTTAATAACCTACCTAATAGATGCATTATAATGTCTGGATGTCTACATTTTAAATTATGCATATTTGGAGTTTAAATGACTTATCAGACTTTAAATAAACGAGGCTTTAACGCTGTAACTCGTCCTGTTAGGGACTCTAGTGCAGTTCTCCATCCGCTCCACCAGGCGGCGCGCGCGACTTCCCGTTCAGTCTGACCCAGAGCTTCCGGATGTTGACAGTGTGACGTTTGTTTTGGTGCAGCAGCAGCACGAGTGTGCAGTTTTAAACACATAAACTGAAGATGACAGCTCAGCGACAGTGTTTTAATGTCACTAAACAACATTTAATGCAGTCCGACAACTAAAATATCCGACACACGCTGAGATAAAGGACATGAATGCAGTGAAAAGCGACTCATCTGTAAGTAACTGTACAGTATTTCTCCTGCATTTCCTCATTAAGTCTTTATTCTTTGTACTTCAGTCGCAGTTAAGTTCATGTTTAGCACTTATTGAAGTGTCTTTAGTGATATGTTTAAGCAGAGCTCTCCTGTTTGTTAAACAGCTTTGTTTACATGCTGCTCTCTGTCACTGTCAGACATTTAGGAGCAAATGAATTGGTAGTTGCTGTTTAATATGTAAAGGCTCAGAGTTAAACAGCCTCTCATTATAAAGCAGAACAAGACATAATATGTGTTAACAAGTCAGTTTGTGAAGCTCTGATGTTCTGCTGTGTTTCTAGAGCTTGCACAGGCAATATTTAGGCTGTAAATGTGTATAATTCTGAATTATTAATTGTAATATCTGTCAGAGTGTGATGTTTAGATCTGCTGTTTGACAGTGTCTCTATTTCTGTGTTTCCTCTAGAGAATGAGGGATGTGTTTGGACCGTACAGTCAACAGAAGCAGAGCTCCGGGACGTTTGGACTACATTTACTGGCGTGATGGACGTCTGCTGCGGACAGGTAAGACCTCCCGCTCGTTTTTGTGTTATGTGCTATCGGTTACCATCACTTCCTTTCTGGAGAGGTCACCTCTCTAGAAAGGAAGTGATGGTAACCGAAACGGGGAGAGAAGGGACGGGGGTCTGGATTTTTATAGAGCTAATTTTTTTTTTAGTAAAAAGCAGCATAACCCCTGCTGTACATGGCCCCGTAGGTCAGGGGAGGAACGTTTCATCCTCCCCCTTCATTCACGCCGACACTCACACATATCGCAGTGATCTGGCTGGGATGGAACCAGCGACCTCTTAACCCTTGAGGCAATGCTCTACCGCTGAGCCACAGTCACATACCTAATGATGTGCTGGAACTTATATTTGACCTGTTCGCCTGTAGGTGAGGCAAAGAGCAAAAGTGAGCAGAGCCTGGATTCAAACCCAAATTTCTCTGACAGCGTTAAACATGTGCTCAGCCTGACATGTTTCTGATTGAAAGCTCAACGCTCTAACCACTGAGCCACAGAGCTTGTACATTGCATGACTTGTAATCTGAGTTTTGTTGGATCCCCTAAGAATTTTAATGGTGAAATTCAAGCAGCTGTGGGAGTCAAACCCGGGTCTTCAAAATGCAAACCTAATGCGCTAACCGCTAAACCATGGAGCTTGTGCTGTCTCTGAGGGTGTAATGTGGGATTTGTTGGATCCCCTAATGATTTTAAGAGTGAAATTCAAGCAACAGTGGATTCAAACCCGGGTCTCCAAAATGGAAATCTAATGCTCTAACCACTGTACTATTGAGCTTGTGTTTTCCATGACGGTTGTAATTTGAGTTTTGTTGGATCCCCAAAAAATATTGACAGTGAAATTCAAGCAAAACCTGCTGTCTGAGGCTTTTAATTTGAGGTTTGTCGTATCTTTATATAATTTTCCACAGTGAAATTCCAGCAGCCGTGGGATTCAAACCCGGGTCTTCAAAATGCAAATTGATTGCTCTAACCACTCAACCACAGAGCTGGTCCTCACTGTGAGAGTTGTAATTCAAGCTTTATTGGATCCTCAAAGAATGTTAAGAGTGAAATTAAAGCCTGCATCTTCAAAGGCTCTAACCACTGCAAGTTTAATGGAAGATTTTATTGATAATTTAGTATCTGTTTGACTCTTTATGCGAAAGCGTTATTTGAACTCAAGACTCCTGGTTGAGTAGTTAACGCTCTAACCACTCAGCCAATGAATAGTCTACACACACATTACACGTTTAATGACATTTTTTCATGAATCCACTTAGAAAACTATGATTTAAAGATATGCAATGGTGAGATATGAACTCTGGGCTCTTGTGTGGAATCCCAATGCTCTAACCACTGAGCCACAGAGTTTGGTTTATGGTGATGAAGATGAAGCTGCTAAGAACCATTTGTTAAACAGGGCTCTAATGAGAGATTTCATGCATATGAGCAGGAGGAGGTGAGCACCAAGGAGTTAAGTGCCTTGTTCAAGATCACGTTACCTTGAAGGAATCAGAATCAGGAATCGAACCTAGTACCACCCAACATGAATAGTCCAAGTCCAACTCACTGACCACTAGGCCACAACTACCCAACCCTTTGGTTACTCTGTTACCACATGCTTTAGATAACTGAATGTTGCTGTTTAATAATTACTTAGAAATTGACAGATATTTCATCAAATAGAAGTTGGTTAAAACAAATGATCAAACCAGTTTTTATGAAGTTCATTAAATATAGGAAACTGGGTTATTCAAGTATTGACACAAAATTACAAACAATCATGATTCTTATGAAGAACTTTATTAATTATTTAAGCAATAAACAGCATCATTTGAATATTTAGATACTCTGTAGATGAACTGGAGTCCTGCAGATCTTGATTAGCTGCTGCAGGTGTTTTTAATCAGACTGTGACTCATCAGGATCAGGAGCTACGTTAGACACACAAACATCATCTATCAACTGTTGTCCACATGAGGGAGCTGACTCACATTAACAGCAGATACAGAGTATTGAACTTGACTAAACTGAGGCAAATGTTATTCCAATCCAGGGTGCCCACATGTCCTGGAAAACCCGGAACATGTATAAACATGAATGAAGTCTCCAGTCCTGGGGTCTGTTCTTCGTACCTCGCTTAAATGATCTAAGATGATTTGGCAGATCCTGGATCTGTTTATCTTGATAACTGATCTCTCGCTAATTTGGTTTTTCAAACAAGTTGGCGAATCAGATTAGAATGTCATGATAAACTGATTTGAGATCGCTGCGTGTGTTGGGAAGGACTGATCTATCAATCCTCGAAATCATGATCAGCAAATAAAAAAAAAAAAAAAAGCTAATGGCACAGCAGCGTAATGACATCATCTGATTAATATTTAATTATCCATGTCAGCTAAATTACATAAAATGAGCAGTAAACCGTTTGTTAAATATGAAAATTACTTTACACCTTGTTGTGGGCTGCATGCTTGGCCCTTTCATGTGTCAAGAGTTTTAGTTTTACAGTTTGAGCTGATTTTCCTTATTATAGTAGCCATAGTAGTATTATTGTAGCCTTTTTTAATGGGTGTAAAGAATAACTGGATGTTTACAAAAACATTTTGATATTGGTAAAGGTGTCTGCAACTTTTGTGAAGCATCAAATCACCGGCATATTAACTGTCAAAACATGTTTATGACTGCATAAATGTATTATTGCGTTTAAAAAAGTTACACATTGTACATGTATCATACACTAATTGTACTAAAGCGATCTAAGTTCATATCAAAGTTTTCTCTTTGCACCAGCAGGTGGCAGTCATATATATATAGTATATAGTTAAAAAAAATATTACAATTTTCCCAAATGTATATAACTACTACTGTAAGAAAATATCAGAATTCGGTACACACTTTCTGAATTATCTTTGCATGAATTAAGCCGATCTATTCCTGTGTATAGGACTTAAACCTGCTTCCGACCAGGTTTGAGCTAGCAGAACTGTTGCTATGATAATAAGTCTCAGATCAGTTTTGAAGAACGAAACGATCCTGGATCATATCAAATCGTCAATAACCAAATCCAGCTAACTGAGTAATCCACGTGCGAAGAACGGACCCCTGGAAAACACATGGAACATTAGAGAAAACATAAATTGTCCTGGAAAACAAGTTTCATTGGCTAATTTATTAAATATAATTTAATAAATATAATTTATTTTTTTGTAAAAAGCAGCATAACCCCTGCTGTACATGGGCCCCGTAGGTCAGGGAACCAGCAACCTCTTAACCCATGAGACAATGCTCTACCGCTGAGCGGTATAGGTGGCACAGAGTAAGCATGAGCAGAGCATGGCTTTGAAGCCAAGTCTTTCTAACAGCCTTGCCCATGGAGAACAGGTGTTTAGCCAGTAGCACCACTATGGCACTCATGTGTGTTTCAGGAGTTTATGGCACTTTGTTGCACGTAATGACACCAAATTAATATTTGCAATAGTGAGGATTGAACCCAGAGAGGTTTTTACTGAACCCATGATGCTATTCAGACCAGAACCAGTGTTTTACCACTCACACCACTGAGGTTTTCACACTGAAAGCTGCTCTCTGAGCTCATTTGTTTTATATTAAATGGCTACGGTGGAATAAAAGCAATGCTGGGATTTGAACTCAGGGATTCATGTTCACAGTTCAACACTTTTATCTGCTGAGCCACTGAATCTGTGCTGATTATAGACAATCACATAACCATGACAAACAAAGCCAGACACTGAGCAAAACGTGAATCACTTGATCATTTCTCGCACATTATCTAATGTATGTTCATATGTATGACAAGGCAGTTTTTTTTTTTTGTTTCTTTGTTTTTTTATTAATAGGAAAAGAACACAGAAGTGAAGACGGTGTGATCAAGACTGAACACAGGTCAGTTACAAGCTCTTATACAGTATATAGTGAGAGTGATTTTGAAAAACAGCTTCATTAGGCTTTATGATTATTCTTTGAACCAATTTGATTCATTTGAAGCATTTACAGCGGTTCAATTCAATGAATCACTGATGTTTGGACTGTGTTCTTATTTGCAGTTACACCATTTCAACCTGTAGGTGTAGAGCATTTCAATTCAGTTCATTTGAACAGTTCAAAGCAATTCTATTCAATGAATCATTTAAATTGATTCAGCTAAATCGATTCATTCAACATGTCTGGACTGAGTTCTTATTTGCATTTACACCATTTTTAGCCTGTAAGTAAATCCAATTAATTACATTCTATTCAATTCAATTCAACTGAGGTGTTTAGAGCACTGCAGTTCAATTTAAAGCATTGTATGAAGTGATTCACATAAAAGATGAAGCTGTCATATAGCAACTTACAACATAAACAATTCAGAAGCCAAATAAGCCACCATTATAAGAATGATTTAAAATGTGTACATGTTGTTGTACCTTCCAACAGACAAAGGCAGTATCCCCGAGTTAGAGGAGATCATGATCACACACTTGAAGCTGAGGATCACCATCAAATGGTAAGCACATCTTGTTTTTTGCAGATGATGTTTAAACAAATGAACTTCAGTTTAGTTAAGTTCAACCACACAAGAAAGAAGAAAGGGCAGTGAGGACATGAACAAACACATTCCTTCGACTGCAGATAAAATACTCTCCTCATGATTCAGTTCACCTGCAAATTTATATTTATGGATCCCTGTTGGGCTCTACACATTCAGTCTCTTATTTAAAACATCTGGGTCGTATTCACAAAACACCTCAAAGCTAAAACTAGCTGCTAACGCTCCAATTTACAAGGAAAATATTTTAGTGTGAGTTCTGATTGTAGGTATCCTAAACATTTGCTTTAAGAGTATTTCACAAAGGGTTTTAGCATTAAAACTAGATCAAAA